GGATGCCTCTTCCCCTTTTGTGTACCACCTGGCGGTGCATTGCCCCCAGATCTCCGGTAGCGCGTGGCAGTTGGTGAAGTTGCCGAAAACGGCCAAACTTCAAGACCTGCAGCAAGCCGCCTGCGCGGCCTTTGGGGAAGCTGATTCTTCAGAGTTCATGTTCTACCCTGTGGAGCGGAAGACCAGGGATGGAGCCTGTGTGAAGCTTGGGGAACAGATCAGGGAAATTGGAAGCCTGGATTTGTTGCTCTTAGCTCTGCCCCCCCGATCATCTGCAGGTGATTCAGCTGGTCTTTGCCCAGGAAGCACCCCAGCCGGCAGAAGTGCCACAAGGCCCCAAAGCCTTCCCTGTGTGTGGCATTTGCTGGCCCTTGGTCGGCACCAGCTATCAGCACAAGGGACCTTATCCGATTTCAGAGTATAACTTTGCCCAGAATGTCTTTCCTACCACTGGCAAGTACCCCTACGGCCCTACCGTTCGATCTTACGAAGGTCGGAAGCAAGATGTTGCAGAGTTTGGTTCTGCAGTCTTTCATGAGGATGCTCAATACACGGAGACCATGACTGCTGATGCCAACATTGTCCAAGAGCTGATCGCCAGAGCTGCAGACTTTCCTAAACTTTGGAACCGAGATGTTGAAGTTGGTTTGCAGGCAGGGGCCGGACCTTCAGCCGTGTGTATAGTTCTAGTTTGATCGAACTTTTCATTCATTATTCTTAGAGTTCAAGCTGAGACCACTGACTGAGACATACTGAGACCATGAAAATTTGGCTTTGATCAATTCAGTCCCGCTGAATCACCTGTCTCCAGGACTTTACTGCAAATGGGCTTTTCACCAGCAGTGAGAAGTCCGAGGATTGGAAGACTGGCCACAGTCTTCTGCCTCGGGGCTTCAATCAGATCAAGGTGAAGGGTTTCGCACCGCAAATCTTGGCGAAGACTCGTGCCTTTGTTGGGGAATGGTCGAAATTTGAAGCGGGCGAATTGGTGGAAGATGTGAACGAATGGCTGACCGCCATGACGGCAGATGCAGTGGTGTCCTGTAGCATGGGAATGGACATGTGCAACGTGGAACGCTTGGGCTCCAAGCAAGCGCCTCACAAGTTTGTGGAGACCTTCCGTTTTGGCTTGGGCGTATCAATCGGAAGCATCACTGCACAGTCCGAGTACGGCCTCAAGCGCTTCTTGCCCTTCTTTGATGCTGAAGGTCAGCTTCAGGAGAAGTACCAGGCCAGCAAGAAGGAGATGCAGAGACAAGTAGAAGTCCTTGTGGAAGCTACCAGACGAGGTGAGCTGGGTGACAACTCCATCATTGCCACCATGCTGAACGACACGAGTGCCGATGGCAAGCGGGTTCGCTACAGTGCTCTTTATGGACATGTTGTGAATTTGATGATCGCAGGTCATGAAACCACTGCCGCCACCTTGGGCTTCACCTTGCAGCTGCTGGCTGAGCATCCTGTCTATGAAGAACGGGCCTTGGAGGAGGTGCGCCAGGTGTTGCAGGGTCGTACCGAGCCCGCTGTGGACGATGTGCCCAAGTTGCAATTCGTGGAACAATGCTTCCGCGAAGCCCTGAGGCTTTACAGCCCAGTGACTTCCATCACCAGAGATGTGGCGCATGATACCTTGCTGGGAGGTCATCGAGTTTATCAAGGTGAGAGGATCAACCTGGTGACTCGCGCTTTGCACACGAACCCTGAGTACTGGGGTGGTGAGTTTGGAGATCCAATGAGCTTCAACCCAGATCGCTTCTCACCCGAGGCAGTGAGACAGCGACATCCCAGCGCCTATCATCCTTGGGGTTTTGCCAGTCGTGCTTGCATTGGTAGCCAGTTTGCTCTCTTCGAGGCTAAAACCTTCTTAGCGTCCATCTTGATCCACTTCAGGCTGCAAGGCATTCCGGGATACAGGTTGGTGGCCAGCTGCGAAGGCGGAGGGGCTGCACCTTCCGCTGAAAAGTTGGCCTTCCGTGTGTTTCCCAGGCCCGGTGGACCATTGTGGGCTGATGGTCTCATGTTGCCATTGGCTCTCCCAGTGGCAGAGGCCAAGGAGTCAATGGAAGAGGATCGCGCCAGCATCAGTACCGTGAGCAGCTGAATCCATGGGGCCTCATAATTGATGCATGATTCATGATTCTCACTGGTTCTCGGCAGCTTGGTTTGCCTTTTGTACAGATCGGGAATGGTCCCGTAGATCCTGTCACAAGCTGGAAGTGTTCCAACCTT